TGACTTTGCTCGACTCTGAACCGATCCCCCGATATTGTTTTATTGAGACAACGGCATATGGTGTATGAAAAGATTAACGTGAAGCTAGGTACTGCAGGGACTTCCAATCAGTTAGGAGGAAAAATACAAACTCCAAACAAAACAAGAATGAGATGCAAAATTTCGGCAATATTTATGCTACCATCTGACTGATTTTAAGAAGAAGCAAGCGAATACAAATTTTACAGAGATAGTAATGTTTGGGTCGCCGTCTGTTCCAAAATCATTTTGTGACGTAGGACTCAAATATATAATATAGTTTACTACCGTATTGTTACATTTTCTATCTTCACATGAATCACTAGCATGGCATTCCATTAGCTACCTCGATATCACTTTGACTACCGAGATTTTACACTCTATCCCGATATTACATTATAGTATTGGAATTTTATTTTCTTAGCCTTAATATCGAATGTTATGCTCTGGAGCCGCAAGAATTGGACATTATGTCAATTTGAATGATAGCGGATAGCACAAATTAATTCAGTTTTCCACCCAAATCTCATTTTATTTAAACTAACTCCACAATTTTATTTTTTGTTTTCTCTAGCTATGTTTTGTTTTGTTTCGGTGATTAACTTTATCGTGACTATCATCAAAGACAACTTCTGGATGTTTCACAAACATGTACTTAGCATCCTTTAGAACAAGCTTTCTTTTTCTTCATTTTAGAGAAGCATTAAGGGCTTAGAAGGAAATCGAGGTTGTGAAAGATCTTATAAGTAGAAGTCATTGAAGCCAAGGTTTTTTTTTTACGTTCACCCCTGATTTCTTTGTTCAAGTGAACAGAACGCAAATGTCGCTGACAGTCAGAGATCTCCTCGATCAGCGCTGAGGCCTTATTGGCTGGAGGTTCTCAAAGGGGCTATGCTGGGCGGCTTTAAAAGTTACTGGTTTAAAAATAATTTAATCATTTTACTATAAGGTCTATTTTTGTTCACGACTAACGGTTAAAAGGGGACAATTTTTTACAATTTTTATACATTGTAGGCACCATCTATGTTCTCATTGGCAAAATGCCCACATTTTATTCTGGGAAACAGCCCAACCTACAGATTATTCACTAAACTGTACCTACAGATTAGTGAATAATCTGTAGGTTGCGTGCGCATTGCCTTTTTTCCGGTGGAGCAATGTCAAGTTCACGGACTGCGAAGTAAGAAAATAAACTGTGTTCGCTGCGATGATAGGGTTGGCGTTATTTTCTTTAAAACAATGTAGAATAAAACAATTATTGCATTCGGTTTTGTGATATCCGGAATAATCAAGGTCTCGGTTAGTGTTTTCTGCCTCAACCTTCGGCTTCGGCTGATAACACTTACCTCGACCTTGATTAATCCAGATATCACAAAAACCTCATCCATTAATTGTTTATCAACGGCAAATCATTTTAGCTGTTTTACAACCAACGGTTAATCCCATTGAGACCCTCTTGGGCGGTGCCAGCACTTTTTCTGCGAAAATGCAAGTGAGGAAGAAGTTTTATGGCGTTTTCTCACCGCCACCGAAGCGGCAAATCTTCAACTGCGAACGATGAATTAATGGAGGAGATCCATCCAAGAGAAGTTCGCTTCAAATTATTGTGGTTCGCCACATTCACAATATTCATTCCTATCGTGATAATTGGATGGGGATTACTGATGCTAGGAAATTGTCAGAAAGCTGTGAATAAATAGTTTTCGTCCTTATCTTAAGAAAGGTTTCTATTTCATCCTCTATATAAAGATCACTGCAAATATTCTTGCACTATTGTGCTAGTTTCCCAGCAGAACACTGGGGCCGATCAAGGCTGATGAGCGGTGACTTAATCTCATGTTCTGATCCTCTATTCTGGATGTGAAAAGTTCATAAAAGCGTCCCTTTGCCTCTAGGGAGGGAGCAAGACACTTGATACTACCAGCATACTACGTTAGGAGTGCATCAATGTCATACTTCCTTTCTTTGTCGTCTTCATCAACAACAAAAATGATTCGACTGGCTGCAAGTCTCTCGAACAGAGTGATACTTCCTGGGTAGTCAATACCATGAGCTTTGGCAGCTGTTGGCAAAGTGAAAGGTCCATGAAACAAGGAAATCACTACTGCAGACACCTTTAGTATCGAATAAAGTGACTAATATAATGTAACCAGGTGCTTCTTCTTCATAAGTTATAATCATTAATAGTGACAGAAAGTTTTGGCCGTTGGAGCAGACCATGATACAATAGCAATTGCGTAGTTTGTAAACTGATAATGTTCCAAGGAAGTCCCTAGAGCACCTGTCTTGTTAAGATCTTGATTATTGCTTAACGATTTAACAAAACCAACTGCACCTGCCTAGACTAATCCCTTGAAGTTATTTTATCAGAAAATGGCTTAATTGGTAAACGGGTCAAAGTAGAAATTAAAGTTTTTGAAAGTACGGGGCATATATATATGTAACTTTAAACAAGAGATGAATTAGATGTTACATTTTAGCAACTTAAATGCCCCCATCGCCGTTTGTTTCAAAATTACTCAGTTGGTGACATAAAGCTTAATTCCATGAGTTCCTGTTAAATCCTGATGGTTTATTTGCCATTATCTATCTTGATATCCTTTGTAGCTTATCATTCTATTTGCTTGCTAACTTGATGCAAGAGATTATAAATTCTCTTGCTTGATACCAATGCTATACTTCCGTGATGTTAGTGAAGTGAAGTGAAGTGAANTTATTTTTTTTTTCTTTCCCCTGCTATGAAAATAAATCAGTGCCAACAAACAAGAATTGTCAGGGTGTTTTCACTGACACTTACGAGACAATTCGTCGAGAACGAAAGATAATTTCTGAAGATACATCATAACAGAAGTTTATTTCTAAATGTTTTCATTCGAATAAGGTGTTACGCCGCTTTGCGATGCATATCAGGATAAATGGCGAGGGACTCATATTATTGGTAATGGAAACTTGCCAGCGCGCAGTGAAAAAAACGATAACATTTTTAGTTTATTCTTCATGTTGTCAAATTATTTAAAGAATGGATTTTGTCATTTTCTCGTTGCGAAAATAACGGAAATGGTTTAGAGTAAAGGCAGAAACTGCCTTTACTCTAATCCATTTTCAATTTAATAATCCACTTTAATTTAATATGGATAAAATAGTTAAAATCAGCCGTGCGAGTTGCCTGAAACAACAAAAGATCCTCTTTACACTTCATACTATTTTACAACTGAATGTCATCAAATTAACAAATAGAGACCATTTCGTCTTGCATCTGTTTAGCTATAAATCATCGACGAGGTCAAAATGGAGTAAGAACAAAACAGAGGCACACGAGATACAGCCTAGCTAGACTATAATTATTTTAGTATTTGCAAAGCATATCCTTAATTTATCCCTCAGTAAGTTGAATTGTAGTTACAAGTAGAACTCTACATTCGCTGGGCGCAGATAAGTAGAAGCTTTCGCGATGAGCTATAGAACGGTAAATAAAAAGTGCTGAGACTAACAGATAACTGTTATAGTTCTATTGAAAGTAACACAGTAGGATATAAAGAGTCTTTGTGGGGTGGTTTTCATGGCCAATGAAATCCCAGTCTCGTAAATCGTTTTTGATGGCAGCGGTGTTGACGAAAAGGTATTTCAACCAAGATAAAACACCTCCCAGTCATCAGGTGAGAAGTAAAGAGAACCTGCCAAGATTGTGGTTAGATCTTGTACTCCTTTTGGTGTCTCGTAGTAGCCATCAGAGGCAAAATCAGCATATGAATTGTTGTTGCTGTTGGCATTATTCGATATATAAATGTCCCAGCCATTTCCGAATGTTGGACCGCGATTAGAATCTCTGTAAATGGCATATGCCGAAACCAGCACCATGCTCTTAAATGGATGAAGCTCCTCTTTGTTCCGTAGAGAAAATATAAACGCATTGGAAGTGGTGGCAGGACCAGTTGTAGAGTCTGAAGAACAAATACGTGCACATTATTGAGACGTCTTTTCGATTTGAAAATACAACATGTGTAAACCTATTAATTTAATAGACAAATGACAGATGGTAAAACTTAATTTCGGAATAAAATGACAAGTAAAACTGTAAAAAAATGGTTATTAGCGTTTTGCCACAAACGGAAGGAGAAGAAGAAAACTTTTAATAATCTGCGAAATTCAAGACAGAATTGAGATCTACTCGCCTGCGATTTCTTTTGTTTTCGATTTCAATTCCATTCATTTTGTGACGAATAATGATAAAAACAATTCATTATCTGTGTGCATTGATCGATCGACGGGTAGATGGATAGGAAAAAGAAGAAAGAATTGACATATCTTCAATTGTTAGCTGATAAAAGGATATGACAAATTTTTGGAAGAAAAAATGAAACATTTTTTTATCCTGTCCAAGATAGATAGCATTAAATTCAATAAATTAAAAACCAGATAAATTTTTTTCCTAGCAAAATTGATAGCACTAAAATCAATAAATAAAAAACAAGACAAAATTTTTGTCCTAGATACCTCCATTTCTATACTACTATCGATTGATAAATTCAACTGATATGAAAAATTTTCACATGACCCGCTTAGCCACACGCTGACTCTGTTCTTGAAAAAAATTTAAACAAACAAAAAGAACATGCGGCCCTTAAGCAACAGGGTCCGAACGTCGTGACTTCCAGCCAAATGTTTTCCCATCCAGCCCTCCTTCTCAGTTAACTTACTAGAGGATTTCTATATTGCTGATTCTAGCATTATGCAAGATTCGTGTCACATGAGAACCGAGTGATCTCATCGTAGTCTCTGTGTCTCAGTTGAACAGCACTGGAGTGCGTAGTCCGAAGGTCTCACGATAGATTCTTCTTGGGAATTCTTAATTTTCTCTTTTTTCCAAGCTCGTGACAGGACACTTTTCTGAGTCATCATGCTCATAATCAAGTACACATTTAAAAAGGTATTTAAGTTTTGAAATGATGCAAAGCCAGCTTTTTTAATTGTTGAAAAAAGTTCTACCTTCTCCTCTTGTCAATGTTGTTAATGGGAAAGCCTCGAAAATAAGTTAGATGAAAGTTATATTTACCCCAAGGTATATCAGTGTATCCTCCAAACACGTACTGGTCATTTTTGATGATGGTCACGGTGTGATTTAAATGGTCGCATCTGCTGTGGAAGCTTGCCACAGCCCAGCCGTGCGTGGAGGCACGGTAGCATAGCAGCCATCGTGAATTGTTTCCCACAGCAGGCTCCAGAAAATATGATAGGTTGCCGAGGAAGTTTGCGCTGCCCGCCAATAATGAAATACCTGTGAAGAATAGCAACGATGTCACATTGTGAAGATTATGAACGGTCATCCACACACAAATAGAGTTTTCGGTCATGATGATTGGGGTAAAGATTGCAATTTTACTTATCCCGAAAGGTTATGAAAGCTATCAGACAAACCAAAGCAAAGACAATTTAACGGTTATAATAATAATTAATGATCATTTTAAAATTTCCATTCTCTGAAAACATAATTATATGGTACTATTCTCTCGAGCTGATTAAAAACGCGTCACAAGAATGATAGAAAACAGAGACGAAACATAATAGTTTGGATATATCAACAAAGTTGAAATGGTAAATTGGCCACCGTAATGATTACAAAAGCTGACGTTTCGAGCGTTAGCCCTTCGTCGGAGCGAATAGAGGAATTGTGGGTTGTGTGTGCTTTTAAAGGCAGAAAATGGAGCTACGTTATTGGTGGGNGTACTTTTATACTATTTTTTTTTTCTTTTGGAAACATGACCGTGTCCCTTGTGATTATCAAACAGTTAAAAATTAAATGAATAAAGGCTGATAGTTTCGAAAGAAACTGTTTGGGGCTGCGTCGGTGGGAGTAACGAAATAATTTGGATATATCAACAAAGTTGAAATGGTAAATTGGCCACCGTAATGATTACAAAAGCTGACGTTTCGAGCGTTAGCCCTTCGTCGGAGCGAATAGAGGAATTGTGGGTTGTGTGTGCTTTTAAAGGCAGAAAATGGAGCTACGTTATTGMTGGGAGCATGGCAACGAGAAAAACATGAATAAATTAGTGGAATGAAAAATTGAACCGACAGACGTTAGCAAAACCAACAAATGTCCTGATTTAACTGTTCGACTGACTGACAATATGTTAACGATAAGTCAGAAAGTTGGATCAATCTAAGTTTTGGGTAAAGTATAATGAAGCGATAATTCTTTTGAAAGCGTCCCACCTCCTGCTGGCACAAAATCGCTCCCACTGTTTCACAGCGTTATAACCCCAACCCCCCCCCTACACATACACACACACACACACACACACACACACACACACACACACACACACACACACCTCTAGCTATCTTTTAAATAGTTGCGTAAACCTTACATGATACATTTTCACAGCGAGGACCAGCAAATCCAAATAGACAGCGGCAGTGGAAACCATTGACTTGATCAATGCAAGTTCCTTTATTCAGACATGGATCATTCCTGCAGTCATCAATATCTTTATAAAAGGCACAAAAAAATTGACAAGTTACAAAATGACTTTTGTGCGGCTCGCGTCCTAGAAAATTCCTTCTTGTTATTAGCACTGCGGTAAGAGTTACGTAGCCCACGACACTGCAGAGAGTCTCTGAGTGGTCTAAAACGAGAAAAAAAAAGTCTGTGAGGACGCCTTTGCTTCTGAGTGCTGTGCGTACGCCAACAAACGCATCATTTTGTTTTGTTGGGGATAAAGGTCCTGTTATCTTGGAAAGGATCAGTGAAATGTTGAAGCTCATAGGCAAACGTGGTTTTCAGTCGTTAAGTAGCGTTGGACATCTGTCCAAAGCTTTTCGAAAACTACTGATAAAAGACAAGATTAAATCTATCGACACATTCAAAAAGCTGTCTTCTCTTATTTCTACCCGGTTAATTTCGCGTCAAAAATAATTTTGCCTGAAACTCTGTCAACTAAAAGACTTTACTTAGGAAAAAACTCAGTTAGACTTGGGATGACTCGAAATAATTTTCTGACTGCATTAGGAGCCATCATTATTTCCCCACTCCGTAGGGACTGTCGGAACGTCTCGCGAATTGAAAATTGGCATATTTTGTAACGTTGTAAAATATTTTATTCGCATAGTTAAGCCACGAAATTTATATTAGTTTTCTTAAAAACCCTTCTTGCTTGCCAAGAAAGTTATAATTTCCCTCTCAATACATCTGAAAAGGCGATTTTTAACATATTCTGTCCCTCTTTAGCTATAAATCGCCACCGGCCGATGGCCGTAAATAGCCTTGCTTTGGACGTTAAGTTTTGGGATTTGGGACCTGATTGACAACTCTTCCCTACACAGCCGTTAAGTTTACACCTTTATAGGAAAATACATGCTAAAACCCCTGTACGTTTTCGACTTTTCAAAAGTTATGAGCGTTTGAATCAGCACATGTACGAGCACTTGCGATTTTTTCGCCTACGCCAAAATCGAACTCTTAGAGCAGATCTCGTCATAAATACAACTCACCTTCAACGCATCTTGGGTTTATGTTAAGTTTCAGACATTCCTCTCTCCTCAAAGGGGTGAACTTAAAACTCCAGTAAGTAACTCCAGACTTAAGTGGCATCTGTCGACACTCTTCTCTAACTCGTTGTTGCAAACTAAACTCGAAACTAAAAACCATATTTCGCGTTTAATGTCCTGCCGAAACTTTAGATTACAGCTGCATTTTCTTCAAGAATCAGGCATTGAAGTCGAAGTTTGAGGGCTAAAATTTGGAATTTGCAGCTGAACGATCGTCCTACCGTGCACGGCAGTGATGCTACTTTCACAGAGGTCCGCATTAACCATTGCAAATGTTTGTACATGTGCTGATTTAAACGCTCATAACTTTTGAAAAGTCGAACACGTACAGGGGTTTTTGTATATGTTTACTCATCAAGGTCTAAAATTAACAGTTAAAAAGGAGAGAATGGTCAATCAGGTCGCAAATCCCAAGACTTAATGTTTAAATCGAGGCTATTTACGGCCATCAGCCGATGGCGATTTATAGGGGTCAGAATATGTTAAAATTCGCCTTTTCAGATATATCGAGAGGGCAAATTCTAACTTTCTTGGAAAAATAGAAAGGTTTTTAAGCAATCTAATATAAATTTCTTGGCTTAGCTTTGGGGAATGAAAAATTTTACAATGTTACAAAATATGCCTATTTTTCAATTCTCGTGACGTTGCGACGGTCTACAGACAGGAGAAATAATGATGGCCTTAATGCAGTCAGAAAATTATTTCGAATCAAACCAAATGTAGTTTAGTTATTTCCTGAGTAGAGTCTTTCCAGTTGACAGAGTTGCAGTCAAAATTACTTTGGACGCGAAATTAAATTGACCGGGTGGAAATAAGAGAGGCAGCCTCTTAGTATCTTGTTGTCGAAATATTCGCACCTCTCTGGAGGCCACAATTGAAAACAGCAAGCCTTAACAAGATCTTCTTTTCTGTTGTTCCGTATGCATGTCTAAGACTTTGAGATGCATGTACAAAACAATTGTAACTGGACACTGATTCCTCTCTGGTAAACTTACTTGTTTGGCAATCTTTCCCCGTAAATCCGAGGGTGCAGACACATACATAACTTTTAGTATCGTACTGAGGCAGACATGTCCCACCGTTTTGGCAAGGTCCACTGATGCATGGGGACTAAGAAGGAAACAGTGGAAAACAAAGAGTGAGAAACAGATTAAAGACCAGGCCTCTTAACTAATGACTTAGCTAAGTTAATAAAGGTAACCACAGACCATGCCAAGTTAATGTAAAATAGATATCAAGCAGAACTTCAAACTCAACCGATGTGGTTTAAAAAATATTACTGAATGGTGGGTCACCCATTAAAAAAAGAACCACTTGCAAGGACTTCACCCATTAAAAAAAGAACCAATCGGTAGCTTTTACCTTTGAGTGACGTTTACAAGGGATGCAGAGTTACCCTTCAATCGAAGATCCAGCCTTTGTACTTCTTAGAAGATCAAAGGCGGAAGAAATAGACTGTAATGCCCTATACCTGCCGTCACTGATTAAACTGTCAGCAACCACGTTTTATTAAACAGAAATTAGCTAGTTTCGCAGTAGTTTTCGGCTTTCCTTTCTAATTTTTTATAACTTCTTTTTAAAATAGTTTATTTCCTGTGTAAATAAGCAGAAGAACTGACAAATGTTAAATACAAAGTAAGTATGTCCTTAAAAAAATGCTTGCGTATACCCAAACAAACACACACACACAACAAAGTAGTTGCTTCATTAAATATTTCAAGTATTTTCACCGTACAGGACGTTTATCAGGGACGGAAAAGAAATATAACGCATCATTGAAATTTTGTCTTTTTCGAGTTCCCCATAAAGTACATCGCTTAGCTGCATCGTATTTTCTAGGTAACAAAGTTGGACAATAGTCCCACAGAAATGCTTAGAAAAATACCTTATTTAGATAAACAAAGACGAGATATGCATTGAGTTGAGAGTCTGAATAATTTATTGTTTTTGGCGACTTTTTATTATTTTTTTTTGGTGTTTGTTTTTCCTTTGCTCAATGTTTCATTCTAATTTTTTACTATTTAGGAGTGAATGTATTCTTCTGCCAAATCATCGTATTCCCAACAAAAGCCGAATCATGGAATTATTAGTTAAGCGTTTAGATGGATAAGATATCGAAAATTAATTAACCATGTAAAGCGTTGAGGATGATATGATATACAAATTATTTTACCACGTAAGTCGCTAATTAAGCAGCAAGCAAACTTATGATCTCAGTTTAGCCATATTTCGTCTCAATTAATTCGGAATTCTATCGCAGGAAACTTGTCAAATTGCCAACCAAATATTGTAAGATCGTATTTCCATCTTTATAAGCAGAAGAACTAACCGGTGTTGACGGTATCAGAATCCTGTCCAATAAAGTGCAAAAAAAAGGTTGAATTTTCTTCCTTCAATAAATATCTAAACTTATTTCAATGGAAAAGAAATGTAAGATATAATTTTAAGCGTGTATGGTTTCGCAATACAGCATGGTTTCGACAACAACTTTTCGACTTCATTAAGCAAATATTTTCCCTTGGGGAATTTCTCCTACATCACGAACAATTATGAATAATATTGAACCAGATCACTTACCCAAATACTGTAATGATGAAATCGACATCCGTCTTTTTTGATAAATTTATCCGATTTGTTGTACTTGTCTGATGGAAGTAACTCACACAGGCGTGTACCTTTCACGGAGATACTTGCCTCCAAGTTGTATGAAAAGCACTTTGGGTTGTTTGCACAGGCAAACCCACATTCCTCGCCGTCTTCAACTTGCAATGAACTGATGCTGTCGATCTTTAAGTAAGAAAAAGTTTCTTTTACCATCATCATCAACAACGCGTCTTCTGAGGAACCTCGATTGAGACCTAGGAAAGAAAAGGTTAAGGACGATTTTAGGAACTTCCGTTGACCTAGCTCTGCTAAACGCTATTGTCATCGCAAATTACGAAATTATCGCAGAAAATAAGCTTTGCAGTACCCTGCAAAGTATGAAGATAACCAAAAAGGCAAACCAGTAAAGGCAAACATTTTCCAAGTCTCAGTTGACCGCCGAGTTCCATATCTTCTTTCTCCGCGATGTTGAATTGTTAACTTATATACACGGTATGACAGCGCTAACCGAATGGCTGAATTAAAGCTATAATATTTCCTAATGAGGAAATTTAAGAAGATTGATTGAAAATATTTGTTGCTATTTGAATAGAAGGAAATGCAATTAGATGACGCGAGTACTGTTTCTAGGTTATTGTCGTTCGAAGTAAGTTAATTGAGCACCTGTCTCCTTGAGACCAAAAAGCATATATTATCTTTGGTAAGCGGTTTAACAAAGCTAACTGCACCTGCATAATCCAGTAACCCAACATTATTTCATATAGCTTCGCAAAAAAAATTCGTAAAAGATGTTGTATGTTGAAATACTGCATACGTGTTTATGGGGTAAAACAAGAGAAGCATGAGTTGTCATTGCGCTGCCTGATTAAACCGCTTTTTTCGACATCCTTTTTCGTACCTTCAGCTGTTTCGAATAATAGCAGAACTAGGGTAGGCCTCCTAAAGAGTGACCCGGTGACTAATAATTAAACTGAGTGATAATGCTAATGATTGTTTATTGTTATCCCTTCCTCAACATTCAGTGGTGAATACAAATAATGTTATGTTTGATAAAATTTTTGGCCCCTACTTAATTTGATTCTAGTACTCTTACTAGATCACTAGCTAGATCCTTCTTATCAGCTTATATTAATTTTATAATAAATGATAATAAATTACATTTTTGCTTAGAAACGAAATTAGCGCGGGGCGCTTATCATCGCTAAGAATCTGTAATTATTGCTATCATCTTTATCGATAAAACGTCCGCATTTTTTTTCCTTTGATATTGTTATCACTATTTCTGTTACTATTATTGCTATCATTAGTAATGATAATAGGACTGAGTGGAGTCCAATTCGGTCTCTAATCATACTCGTGATAACAAAATCGTACAACCGCTGCGCGATCGTCCGATTTGTATATCACGAGTATGATCACAAAACCGAATTGGACGATATGAAGTCTTATTACCAATTAATCATAAAAAAAAAGAAACAAAAAACAAAAAACAATTTCCAAGAACAGAAGAATAGCCAAGTAGTGAAAGAAGGGGGAAATTTGCATTAATAAAAACAACTAGCCTGAAATCATGACTTCATTACTAGCTTTACTTTGCTCTCGAATAAGTTGACTGCCTTGAGCAGTGCTAGTCAGAGAGAAGACTGCAAGTAGTATT